TGACGAGGCTCGTAAATTTACGAGCTTTACGAGGCTTTTACGAGTTTAAGGAAAGACCCGTATTGTATATTTTTGTATTTTAAATGACGAAATCAAAGTGAATACTATGCTGGAGTTGGTTCAATCGTATCCTTATCTTGCGTTGAAGGCATCGTAGCTATTCATGTGAATAAAAAAATCGGATTTTTCGTTTTGCTTTACACATAAAAATCGTATTCCTTTCTTTAGAATTTATTATCCTGCAAAATGAGACCAAAGTAAAGACATACGAACGAATTCCGATCTAACTAAGAACATTTTGGTTACAATTAGAAGTTCAGATCATCTTTACCAGAGATCCAATAGGGATTTTTTTTTTTAATTTTTTGCTAGTTTTGGTCTGATTCTCCAAAAGTTCACAAGTGTTTTGGCATCGAATTTACTCAATTTCAAGCACTTAATTGAGTCTTGTACTCAATTATGATTACAGCTTTTTACATATGTACATTAATAAGTACTCGACTTTTTTAAGAGTAACCATGTCTTAAACTTCCGTAAGAGCAAAAGTGACCTAAGCCCTTATTTTTTTTTTTTTGTACCTCTACTTAAAATAGTTTCAAACGAGATAAAATTATAAAATAAAAATCTCTTATTTCTGCTATGTAGCTTAAAATTAAGGAATAAGCGACTTTATTTTAAAATTGAACATTTGAAACTATTTAAAGTAGTTAAGTACAAAACATAAAGTTGGGGTTAGGTGACTTCTGTTTTCACGGCTTCATATAGAATTCGCACATTTATTTAACCCAAATGCAAATCAAATTAACAAAACGCGAATCAAATTAACCGAACGCATTCTTCCTCGAAATATAAGATGAATGTTCGGTGTTGGGCAAATTCGAAAAGCAGTTCTGCCAAATTTTATTTATTTTTCTTGTACTAATTGAAAAGTTTTAAGTAGGAAAAAGATCCGCAAAACGAAATAAAAATCAGCAAAATTTATAAAAGTTGCATGTAGAATTTGTAAATTTTTCAAATACCGCTCATTCGGTTATTATCCACGGTAAAATAAGCGTTCCGGTTTATTTAATTTGCGTTAAGATTTAAATTGCGTCTGGGTTTCACTGATTTGCTTTTTGATTTAGTTTGAATTGCGCTTGAGTTAAATATAGTACATAAATGTATAGTTGTATGTATTTTTACAACGCTTTTATTTCAGGTTATGTTTTTGCCTTATTATAAATCCAGTAAAAATGTCTTTGAAACATCCGTTACAAGCAAGATAGGGGAAAACTTTCTTCTGTGACTTTTACTTGGTACATTTTGTTATAGCGATCGATAACTTAACTTAAAGGAAGTGAAAAATTTTAAAAATAATATGTTGCAAAACTATACCTTAAACTGAAATCCCAATAAAATTAGTAAAACATGCATACTCTGTTTGTGCTCCATTAACTTGTAACTAATTGAAATATGGGCTCACTCATACTTAAATAAAATGTCTTCACTAAGAGCCCCCCGCATACGGAAGACCACCAACCATCTAATCGGGTTGGGATGAATGTAGGTAGGTGCGTACTCTGACCAAACTAATTAGTCAGGTTGGCCTCACTGCCTTATTATGTATTACGAACGATTCGTCTGCAGACGATAACGTCTCTGATTGCGAGTTTATTACTCTATCGGTCGTTTTCGTCTAACTTCGCATCAATTACGTTGCAATCGTCTCGGTTGCGTTTAAACCGGCTAGAATGATGCCGCCGGACTAAGTTTTGAAGCATTCCTCTGCAAACGAATCGTTCGTGTTGCCTATCGTTCGTGATACATAATAAGGCTGTAAATCGGTGGCAATTGCTAGAATATCGACGTCAGGGCTGCCAACTTCTTAGGTAGGCCTATAATTAGTAGCACCTGAGTTTCGGCCACAAGCACGAGCAACTATAAAATACAAATTTTCAGGGACAAATACGATATTATTGCACATTTATTTTGCATACGTATTTTTTTAATGCTCTTTTTATAGCTCATTCTTTGAAATGTTATGCTAAGATGGCAGCCCTTATCGATGAGTTGGTGGCTGATAAAAAGTCTGCAGTGTACGCACGTAGAAGAGCGCCTTGCTGATCAAGCAGTCGGCCGATAGTTGGCAGACTTTCTAGTTTGAACGCAATCGGCCTGCACTTCAAACTATTTATATTTAGTCGGGCACGATTAAGTTGGTGAAGTGTGCGCACATCCATGCAAGATGCATGTATTTTAAGAGAGCCCGACTAAATCGTCGGCCGATAAAGTCTGCAGTGTGCGGGGGCTCTAAAGCACACATACACGTTTTCAAATAAACGATTATCAGCATGAACTGTCCTTGCTAATACTCCCCACACATCCCAGAAGATAATTTAGGTAGGCCTTTTTAAGAGTGAAGCCATTCTAAAGGACCTACCCAAGAAGGTATAAAGAAAGTGCTTCCCTGCATGGATTCTAGAAGGGCTTTTTCTAATTACGATTTACGCGAAAGTATAAGCTTATGCTATTTAGCATTACAAATTAATTTAAAAATGCATTTTAGATTGCAATAAAACATATTTGATATGAACCTTAAAGAAAGAGAAAGGAAAGCAGTGGGAGGCCTCTTGAATCTCAAGAAGGCCAATCATAAATCATTCTAGTATGCAATCAATATCTTTTCGCCTGAAAAAGATTACCTAAGCCAAATTTTTGATAGCGAATTTAAGGTAAAATAAGCACTTCAACAACTTGCAGAATCCGCAGTCAGTTGCCACGTTTTTGCTGGCGAAATTCATTCGATCAGATTTAGGGTGCAGCAAAAGAGACGGGGAGCCGCGATCATTACATCATACTCGAGGTACTAGAAACGTTTTCAGGCCGTCCAAATTGTTTGACCGCTAACGGGAATGTAGATTTTGCTGTTACCCAGCAAACACAGTCTCTAACATTAGATAAACATTTTGTTTTACATTAGAATTCTAATGAAGGTACTCTAATGTTTCCCGCAGGTTAGAGAACTATGTTAAAATTCGATTGAGAGAATGATTAGAAAACCACTAGACATTAGAAACCGATTAGAATTCAACGTTAGAATGCGATTTGATATCTA